AAATATATTATCTATGAGTGTCTTTGATTTTGGAATAATTCTGGTTGGTTTAGTAATTTAATGGGAAGAGGGAAAAAGGGAAGCGGGAAAAGGGAAGAGGGAAGAAAACTTTTAATTAAAACAAAAAGTTTGAAAATTAAAAATCTTAACAAAAATCACCATTCAAAAGAGCAAATAATATCTTTGATTTTTAAAATAAATTAGGCTTTGCCTTGTTTATGGACGATACCTTATACATAATAGCATAACATATTAGATAAAGTGTATAACATTACATCATTGCATATTTTATATTACATAATACGTATTACGTATTACATATACATATTATGAATTACGCATTATGATTACATATAATGGTTAAAAGTTTTAGATTTAATATGAAAATAAAATTTGTTTTCACCACAATTTCTTTAATAAGCATGAAGCTATTAAAAATAATATGCTTAGGAACTGTATATATGAGTCGGGTTAGCTCGGTTAACCAGGCTGACTAAAAAAATTAAAACATATATAAATAAATGTTTATATTGGCATTTTAATTTAAATTTGAATTGCGCATTTTTTTTGTTGTTGTTGTTGTATTAAAAATAATTGGGATCCAGTATAAAAATTTATTTTTGTAGGTTTGGCGCTGTATTCTCCTCAGTTAAAGCCAGATGTTTGGCAACCCTATCTATTATAAATATTGTAATTTCCTAGCAAGAAAACACAACAAGAAATTTTATTCATCTATCTCATCATTAAACTAACTTCTATTTCACCTCCTTCTTACAAAAATCAATCGATAATTTATATTATACTACAAACCTCAATTATTCATTTAAAACCGCGTAAACATATTAAATATAATTACTAATTAAAAACTATGCTAATCACAAACCGCATAGTTGTCACTAACTGTTTTTAGAGATTACCACAACATAATTACAAAGATATTAAGATGATTTTTTTTTTATTTTGTAGATTTTTCATTCTTCTATTCAGATCTGGTAACAACTAAGACTTTTTTTAAGAGGTAGTGAATAAAAAAGGCAGTTGCTTTTACTCAACTTTTTTCAAGTAATTGCTCAGCTTTACGTGAAAATTTTTTTTAGCAATTTTTATAAAGTTTATTCACGTAAAGCTGAAAAATTACTGCAAAAACGCTGAGTAAAAGCAATTGCTTTTTTTAAAACACTAGGAAAAGTACCTTTTCGCATTGTGTGCCTCGAATAATCCAATAAATCAATGCAGATATACCACCGTAAAAAAATATTTTAAAATTTTTGGTAATTTTATTAGAAAAAATGTTATCTTATTAATACAATTTTATTTAACAAAAACTTGGTGCAGTTGGTTGACACGTAAACACTTTGTGGTGGTTATTTTCTTATTTATGTTAAAAACAGCTTACAATATTTTACCAGGTACTACATGAGCATTTCTGATCCCAATAAAGTTTTACGTAGTTTCTATAAAAAAAAACCTGTTATGTTCTATTGTTCTATTGTTATGTTCTATTTTTTTAGTTCTTTAGATTTAATATGATATAAATAAATTATTTATCGAAGGAAAAAAAAACACATTTATATTGAATGCGATTTTGACTTTTTGAACCTAATTACTTGAAAACAATTCAAATTAAGTCCAAATACTCATTGTTAATTCATTGCTCGATTCATTGATTGATTAAAAACATCCACCAAAATAGATAAAAATCTTTAACCGACATTTAATAAATTTTTGTAATGACAAGCTTGTAAATGACAAGCTTTAGGTCATTAATAGGGGTGGGTGGGTCTTGTTAGAAAAGTTTTGGGTTATAATTTCAAAAAATTTTGGGTTATAATTTCAATAATTTCTATAACTAAAATTTGTTGTTTTAAAAAGATATAAGTATATTTTAACTAAAAAAGATATAAGTATATTTTAACTAAAAAAGATATAAGCATATTTTAACTAAAAAAGATATAAGTATACTTTAACTAAAAAAGATATAAGTATATTTTAACTAAAAAAGATATAAGTATATTTTAACTAAAAATGTGACAATTTTAGAGCTGTAGCATAGTTATTTTACACGAAAAAACTTGTTTGAAATCCAAAGTCAGAAAACGTATATTTGCGAAAAAAACAAAACAAAAAACTTATTTATGATATAACTTAAGTATGATAAAAACAAGATTTGTATAAGATTGAAGAAAATAGTTTATTGTTTGTAGTTATAGGAAGCTCGCAGAAGACTGGGGTCAGTCTTATCATCGAGTACCTTTTACACCTTTTCTGTATCAATTTAAAAGGAATACGAATCAATTTAAAAGGAGTACGAATCAATTTAAAAGAAATACAAATCAATTTAAAAGAAATACGAATCAATTTAAAAGAAATACGAATCAATTTAAAAGAAATACTAATTTAAATTGATTAGTATTCCTTTTAAATTGATTCGTATTTCTTTTAAATTGATTCGTATTTCTTTTAAATTGATTCGTATTTCTTTTAAATTGATCCAGAAAAGGTGTAGACGTGTAAAACATATAATTTTCAGTTGCATACGTGGTAAATATGTATGTGGTTCATATATGCCTTAAAATTATTAATGTTACTATCTCCTTTAGTATTATTTATATTGTTTCCTTCGAAAAGTTACATTTTTTGTTTTATTACGGTTGTTTTATATTATTTTTATTTTTAAATTTTAAATTGTAGTTTAAAAAAACTCCTTGTACTTGTTTAACTTGATTATTGTAGATTTTAACTTTGTTTTCAGGGACTGTTCGTTGTTTAAATTTATTAGCAATTCGTTTCTTGAAATTATATTGTTAATAAATAGGGACCACGATGTTTTATTAAAAATTTTTGAGATTTTAGTTTTTTCAAAGGGTATCTTAAAGTTTCCCGTTGCTCTTGTATTGTATTTGTTTACCTTGTTTTCAATAAAGTGTGCTGAAAAATGTTCTGGAACCAGACTTAATTTATATTTAAACGTGAAAAGTATATTTTGATAAATATTAATTTGAAAAATATTTAAACCGTTTAAAACTCCAATTTCTAATGTTATTTACTCAACAAAAATATTATTTACTTTGGGGGCCCCGCAAATTTAGGGGCTCCCCAAAATTTTGGAGGAACTTTTATTTTTGTTTTTGTGTGTCATTTTTAGGCTCTGGCCTATAAAAAGGCCTCCAAAAACAAAAATAGCACCGGGCCCCAAGAAATCTTAATCCACCACTGCTGAGTACAGTTAATAGTTATAATAATTTCTATTTTAGTTATCCTTCTTTAAATCCCACTAATATAAAATGTAGCTTATCTGTTAAGTATAAAAAAAAGTTGCTTTTTTAGACATGTTTTTTATTTCAAGGATTTCCAAAGCCTTATTTTGGTCTTTGTGGTCTGGCAATTAATTAACAAGTGTATAAAAATAAATGCTGAGAGGCCATCCGTAAAGGGCGTCACCATTTTTTAGCCAATTATTGACCCCTCCCTCTCCTTTGTCACCGGTTGTCCTTTTTCCCTATACCCCCCATGGAAAAGGATGTCATAAAATCCTGACCCCCTCCCTATTTTTATACTAAAAAAAAATTATTTCATCTTGCAATGATGTTTGAATCTGCTGCTACACCTTTGAAATATAAAATTAAAAATACTCTCATACATTATCTTCTCAAAAACACATGTTAATGTTAATTAAACTAAAATAAAAAATCTATAAAGTAACGTCCTTTTCTGACAACCTCCCCCCTCCTCCCTTTGTCCTTGTGTGTCCTTTTTAACTCGACCTCCTCCCCCCCCTATTTGAATGACATCCTTTATGGATGACCCCTTAGCTAAAAGATTAAATTCATTTATGAATCAATAAATATGATCTAGTTGCGCTCCGTGCCAGTAGATGTTTTTTATAAACTTTTTAGATTATAATAAAAAAAAAATTCAAATATGCTAATAAAAAAGTAAACCCTTTAAACTTCTAAAGTGCTGAAAAATTAAGGGTCATGGGTGGATCTAGCATTTTTTGGTGTTTGAGCTAAATTCCAGACATGGAGCAAACTATTATATGTTTAAACTTATGTCAATTAATTTATTTATAAAACTTATTATAAAATTAATTTTCTAATAAGTACAAACATGTTTATATTTATATGTTATTTAAGGATGGTTTGCCTGGAATTTATATGTCAATTAAGGATGATTTGCCTGGAAATAAAAAAGCCCTCAAACTCGCTCCCTAGTTTCATAGTAAATTTAGTTTCATAGTAAAAAACTGCTCGAAAATCTGCTTTTTTGTCTTTTTTCAATCAAGCTTGTATTAAACTAAGACAGAGAAGTAATTTAACTCCTTCAAAAAAAAAAAATAGTTATCGTTTATCAGTATCAAAAAAAAAGCAACAACAACAACAACAACAAGAACAACAAGAACAAGAACAAGAACAACAACAAGAACAACAACAACAACAACAACAACAACAACAACAACAACAACAACAACAAGCAAAATTATAATAAACATAATATAAATATAATTTAGGAACTCATCAACTTTTAAAAATAATTTCTAAAGCAACATTTCAAAAAGGGTTATAACTGCCTTAAGAACTAAAAGTTAACTTAAGGAGTAACGTACAATTTATAGTTGAACTCATGTAATTTGAATCTTTAAGGGGTCTCCAAACATGTTCGAATTACTAGAATTACTATTTTTGAATTATAGGAATTCAATCCTAAATATTAAACTCTGATGGGACCGAAGATTTTGTGCAATTTAAATGATCTTTTGAAAAAAATGAGTTCAAATTACAAGAGTTCAACTGTAGTAATCGATAAAGTAATCAATTATTTTTTGGCTTGGTTTTTAGCCCAATTTTGACTTTTTCTTGCCCCGGCGATGTAAATATATTTTTTAAATGATTAAAAGTGGGAATTTTTTTAAAAAGTATTTACTACTTTATACAATATACTTAATCTTTGTTCTTAACTGTTTTGAGCGGGTACTTATACCGAACCCCTAGAAAAATTTTCAGTGGTATGTATTATTAACTTATCTGCGATAGTTTCGAGAAATTTCCTAATATAATTTATTTCTAACATGGCGACTACAGAGGTATTGACTGCTCGCCATCAAGATGAAATGATGGATATAGATCAACCGAATTTTAAAAATGTGACATTTGATAATGATAGTGATATCACTGACACGGAAAAGCCTACTCCTATTGATCCAAAGTAATTTTTAAAAGTTTTTACTTAAATCTTTTTAAACATGTGATGAGATTTATCCTACCACTATTAAATTAGCATTTTTTCGCATGGCATATGTTTATTGGAACGGATAAGTATATATATTTTTGAAAATTAAAAGGATACGGATTTTATAATAAAAACTAGTTCTATAAGTTGTGTTTTGTAAGCGTAAGTCATCTAGCTATGTCAGTTCTTTTGAGTAAATTCTTATATAAATCAAATGTCAATTCGATTTACGTTATATATCAGTTATCTAGTTGTTAATGATATAAAAATAGGTTACAAAAATAGCTATGACAATATATATATATATATATATATATATATATATATATATATATATATATATATATATATATATATATATATATATATATATATATATATATATATATATATATATATATATATATATATATATATATATATATATATATATATATATATCATTGTCATGAGGATAATAAATTGTTACATTAAGACATTAGCATGTTAGTAAAATGGTCTGAAGATAGGTTAATTAAATTTAATGAATCAAAATGTAAGGTTATGTATATTGGTAAAAAGAATCCAAGATATGAATATAAATAAAACTACTCTGTTTTAACAGAAACAACAATAAAAAAAAACCTTTTTAAAAGCAGTATTAATATGTAGAACTTTCTGAGTCTGTTCTGGAAAGTTCTACTTATGTATAAAAACAAAAGTTTGATCCAGTGAGTTTGTCCGTATTGAATTGATAGTTTCCTGTTTAGCATTTAACATTTTCTCAAGTAAGTTTTTGAGTATATTGCATTATTTAGAATAATAATATTTATTTAAAATAAAAATTTTATTTCTGAATATATATTGTAAATGGGTTTTTTAAATGTAATTATTGAATATAATTTTTAATTTTGTACACATACTAACAACTTGCTATTGAATTTTTTTTTACCAAGACTTGGGTGAATATAAGTCAAAATAAGAAAACAAGAACAAAATATTTAATTGAGCTATGTGTGAAAACTCAGATTTTATCTGAGAAAGGGATGCTTGTGTGATAAAATAGCAAAAAGACTGAAAATTCTTATTTCAAGTCTACACATTTGCACAATTAAAAACAGCAGGGACGAACTTGACTAAAAAATTCCTATGAAAACTGTAGTGCACAACAAAGATAAAAAATAAACATATTGTAGTTACAAGCGAACATAACAGACAACTTCTAGCCACTATGATTAAAGAAGAATTAAATAAAGTAATAAAAACTCTAATATCAGCTCATACGGTTAAAAGACAATATGTAGAGTTGGACTAAGTGGTCATATAGAGTGTCAAAAACCATTGTTATGGCTTGTTAATAAACAAAAACAGTTTATATGGGCAAGAGTTTTCCCCATATAAACTGTTTTTGAATTATTTGGAACCAGACAGCGTCTATATATCCGATGGTTGGTAGGTGAACATGTTATTGATATTTGTTTGAGTATTTTAATAAAACACGGTGGTGGTAATGTCATGGTTTGGGGTGGTTTTGTTAGAGGAAAAGTTAGATTTAGTTTAAGTCAAATCTGATTTAGTTCTAGTCAAATCAATAATGGTTAAAAAAGTGTACCATATTTTTTTGATTCATCATGCGATGCCATCTGGTATTCGTAATATTGGTAAAGAATTAGTCTTACAACAAGACAATGACCTTAAACATACTTCTAAATTATATAAACCCTATAGAGAAACTGTGGGATGAGCTGGGGAGAAGGGTACGCATAATGATCTCAACTAAAATAAATAGTTTCTGGAAGTCTTCAAGATATCTGGAAAAACATGTTTCAAAACATTAGATAAGTTACTGTCTCGAATGTCAAGTCTCTGTGAGGCTGTCATCCACACTAAAGGTGGTCATATTGATGAGAGTAAAATCTTGTTAAGTTATTAAATTAAAATATTGTTGAGAAATGTATTAGTAATAAATTGATAAAAATGATTGAGCATAGTTTGTTTTTTTATAGACGATTCACACACTGATCAAAGACTTTTGCCCACTAGTATATATGTATATTAAGCCAGATCATAGCTTCAAAAATTTTGATCAATTCCTTAGAGAATATGCATTTAGTGGTTCTCAAATATACTGAATCTATTGCTGCAAACCATTTTTCTCTACTACTTTGCTATACTTTGCGTTTTTGTCTTTGAAAATTTAAAAATGTCATTTTGTAACATATCATTTATTGAATATTTAGTGTATCATTTATTTATTGAACACTTAATACTATTAGAAAAACAAATTATGTTAATAATACATGATTTTTATAATATCAATTAACAACAGTTACAATATTTTAGTTAAATCTGTTTGAATTCAGACTAATTCAGTATCAAAGTGCAACATTAATTTTCGGCGCTCTAAAATAACAGCTATCATGACCATAAACCTTAGATGCAGATTCAGTGATAATTTTAATTAAACGTTCAACACTTTGATTGTGCCATGGAAATGGTTCTATATTAAAAACAATATCTTCATCTGACTGAAGGCAGGCCAATATTTGTGCGGTAGAAATGTGTTTTGTCAAAATGGGTTCCAAGCAGGGAATAGTTTGCCAATCAATCAGCTCTTCATTGCTTGTTGCTTGAAGTCTAATTTCAGGGATTTGGAATTTACGATTTGGTATGTCATCTTCCCGTGCATATAGAATTCTTTTCAGAGCAAGTCTACAAATTTCTTGACGGTTGTCTTTCAACATAGCAAGAATAATGCTCTCAATATGAGCTTGATAGCTATTGCGCTTCAAAACTTGCTGAACCACAATTCTGTACTGCACAGGAAGAAATCTTGATGTTTCTATCATTTTGTAATAGTGTGGTGCGGCGTTCGAACAGTTTGAATATTTTTTTACATCAAACCTTACAACTGCATAAGAATTCACAATAAATTTAGCCAATAGTGTAACTTCATTTGATGGAGCTACAGTAGATATATATTGGCGCAAAACACGATTTGCAAGTGTCAACCACCTTACATGGTTTAGCTGCCCAGGCAATCTGGATTCAAATCCTTGTGGTACAATTCCTGTCTTCACTGCATTAACAATTTTAAAAAAGTACAACTGATCACTACTTAATAAATCTTTATCACAATTAATAGGTTCACCAGCAATAGCAGCAAAGTTGACTTTGCTGTTATTTGCTGGGTGGTTGCAATAGCTTTGAAATAGATTTGCCAATAGATCCATTAAATGAATGTGGTCCAGTTGTTGCACTATCTAAGGAATTATAATAGATGTCGCAAAGGAAGCTCATTCAGATGTAAGAGACAAATGAACCAGTGAAGTGGACGACCAAGTTCAATTTCCATTCTGCGTATATATCTCCATTATTTAAACCAGTGTTAACGTTTGTTGAATCTGAACCAATACAAACAAGATTAATACAGTCTACTGTATCAAGAATTGATTCTAAAATCGATTTAGCTGTACCACTTACTGGTCTTGTATTTAATGACTTAATGGTCAATGTATCTTGATCCTGGCTCTAATAATAGATAAATATGTTCTTCAGAAACTACAGTGTGCCGATCTCCAGCAAGTTTTAAAGTCTGATTATTTCTGCCATTAAAATACAACCCAGAAATCTTGCAATCAGTATTTTTATATGCTGATCTCAGAAGTTTTCTTTCTCTCCGAATTTTATTGCGATCAACTAGTCCCATATGTTTTAAACTGAAATCAACAAAAGTTGCTGATACTAATGCAGCAACTGCATGATCTGAAATGTCAAGCCCATCTGCTTGTAATGCAATATTTCTAAGGCAATGTTTTTTGAGACGAGAAGTTTTGGGTATTTTATCTGATGTGTCATCTGATGCATAAGGGGAATAAGTTTCAGTGTCAAAATTACTAGTTGTTTGAACTGTATCATTATCTGAATATGATGCTTCAGCTACTCTGACACATTTGTTACTGATTTCATTTGTTGATCTTAACACCGATTTCCTTTTTAGACGACTTTCAGCAAGTGCTGATTCCTTCTTATCAACAACAGCTATTCTACCAATATGTGCAGTGCGCTGATCTGTAAGAAAATTATGCTCAATTGCTGCTCCTTCATATTAAGAGGGCAGCAGCAAGATGAAAACTCTTTGCATTTACATGAACAAATATCAAACAGTTTATTAAGATTAGTTGCTATTTCTTCTTTTTTAATTGTTGCAGATTTTGATTGCATCACTTTCTGAACTTCACCTATAAACTTTTCCAACTGGATTTCTATCCCTCGAAGAATTATTGTAGGGATTGATGCTTTAATCCATACATGCAAGAGTTTATCAGCCAGTCTTTTACAGACAGTTCGTAGTGGCTCAGTTTCATAACTCTTTTCAAACAAGTATGCTTTGCCAACCTGTTTGTGCGTTGGCAAGTAAACGTTTGGTAACTCCTGAGCTTCACCAAAAAATATATGATAATTTTTTGCAGCTGCAGATCTTGATAACATAATTGTTTCATAGTTTTTAAAACAGATTAGAATTTGAATTAATTTCTGTAAACGCAAAAAACAGACAAAAAATTACAATTAAATATAAAACTACAAGCAGTTATGCAATTTGCATAAACTAGTAGTTTAAAGTTTAAACACCAAACATTCATAGAAAATGTTTAAAATTGCCTAAATCTTACTGTTATGAGCGTTTGTTATTCACGTGACCTCAAACATTTTTAGGTCGGCCTTGCCGAATGCCTGACCTGACCTGCCTAAAGTCTGAGGGTTGCATTATATACAAATACAATATAGTAGCTATGTACAAAACACACTGGAAAGGTTCCTTCTGATGCAATTGAAAGTATACAATTTATATACAAAGCAAACATTAAAACTAATCAGAGCTACAGTTTTTTAAAAAGCACACACAATTTTTTTTTAAAGTAATCATATTTAATTATATAATGTTTACTAACATTAAAAGTGAAAATATTTTATTTAATCTTTTTTCAACTTAAGAGTAAAATAACATATGTACTAATACTGTTGTATTATACCTAACTTCAATTATGTACTATTACTTTTCCATATTTCTCAACTATAATTTGATAAACTATATAATTTGATAAACTATATATGGTATATACTCTTAACTCTTAGTCAATTTTTTTTTAGAGTTTTATCTCTGGCTAAGAAAGAGCAAGGAAATGAGGCCTACTCTCAAAAAAATTACACAAAAGCTGTTCAACTCTATACTGAAGCAATAAGTATATTAGTTATAAATTTCTTAATTATTTAACTCTTTTTTTCAATGTGAACTCAACAATCATTTATTTATTGATTTAATTATTTAGCTCACTTTATCTGAAAAAAAAAAGTTTTTTAATTCTCTATTATGTGAAATATGTTGACAGTGAGTACTAAAAAGCTTGTAATCTAGCACCAAAGAATCAACATCAGCCATTTTTTATTTTTTTTTATTTAATTTTGTATTCTTGTTCTTTTAAAAATATTTAATTCTAACTTATGGATGCTGTTGGTAACACAAGTTCTCATAAACTGAAAGAGCTATTTAACTATTTCATTTTGAGGTTTATAAATATATGTATTTTTAAATATAAATGTTTATATTACTTTTTACATATCTTTTCTTTTCAACACTTTTTTTTTTTTTTTTTTTTTCAACTCTGAAATGATGATGCAATAAAAAAGTTTTTTCTTGGGAGTTTAAAAGTTTTACTTAGATTTTTATCAAAAACAAAATTTGTATTTGATAACAAATACAAATTGTAATGGAATCGAGTGCTGCATGGGATGCAGTACTCGATCATATCTTAAGTTCTCTCAATCAAAATTTAATCACATTAGCCATTGCACCACCAACATGTTATGTGCTACTAACTAATTTATAAACTAAAGTTATATATATATTAGCCTTATTTTTTCATTATAAATGTTTTTTAGATCTTGATCCTTCCAATGCTGCATATTATTGTAATCGAGCTGCTGCATACATGATGTATCAAGAGTTTAAGCTTGCACTTGAGGATTCAAGCAAAGCTGTTGCTTTGGACAACAAGTTTGTAAAAGCATATCATAGATCTGCGAAGTGTTATATTGCAACTGGGCAGGTTGAGCATGCTTTAAGGATGATTGAAGCAGCTAGAAATATCGAACCAAAAAATAAACTTTTATTAGATGAAGTAAGTTTGAATTGTTCATGTTTAATATTTTTTTCTTTTTTATAATAATTGTGCCTTAGTTAAACTATTCTTATTTGCAAAATCTTATTTCAATTAATCATTTAATTTTGTTTTAATTATTGAAATTCTTATTGAGTTTACAATATTTTTTAAACTCATGAATATCTGAGGTAAAATAGCTTAAAATATTAATACTATAAATACTGAAAGCTAACTTTAAAAGCGTTGTTTTTTTATTTAAAGTTTAAAGTTTGTCATCTGTGGAGGTCCAATAGAGAATAAATGGAGAATAAATACATTTTTATACTGCTTGTTTAAACTATTATAAAGTTATATATTTTTTTTAGCTGCGTGCAGTGAAAACGATGGCTGATTATGAATCACAGAGTGCAAAAGCTTATGACTGTGGAGACTATCGCAAGGTGGAAATTTTAATATAAAAAAAAAAGTTCAATACATAATCACTTACAAAGTGATACTTTAACATGGATACAAAGTGCTTTAATGCTTAAAAATGCAAAGTGCTTTATTATATAATGTTATTTATTATATAGGACATATTTAGGGGGCTGACTTATTTTTGAAATTGTTGTTTTTTAAAGTTACACAATTTGAAGGATGGCATTTTGTGTGAAAGTATATTATTTCACTAGATTCTAGACACCAACATCTAGTTCAGCAAAATGATGTTGGTATCTATACATGTATGTATGTATGTATGTATGTATGTATGTATGTATGTATGTATGTATGTATGTATGTATGTATGTATGTATGTATGTATGTATGTATGTATGTATGTATGTATGTATGTATGTATGTATGTATGCAGGGCTCAATATAATTAACTTTTTTGTTCTTAACAGTTTGTTCAATAAATACTTTTGCCAGACATATCTGACAAAACCTAAAAATAAATTTTATTTTAAGGAAAGAAGTGTGATCTAATGGCATTCCTGTCCACACATAAGATATTTTGTTTCTTCTATCGCGTCAGTTAGCAGTTTAGCCAACTTTAAGCGTTTCAAAAATATGCTGAAAATTTAAAAGATAACTTATCAATAAAAATAAAATTTTAATGAAAGAGAAAAAAAAACTTGAAAAACTTTAATTTAAAAAGGGATATATTTTAAGTTGCATTTTAATACCATGCAAAATGCTTTAAATATTCATTTTTTATGATCTTTTCAATGATTAAGTTTATAGTGAATTTATTTAATAGTGAAAAACTTTATCCTAAAAACAAACGTTATGAAACATAAATCAAATTGAAAAATAAAAAGTTTATAAAATAAAGTATTATGAACTTTTTTTTTTATTTCTTTATGAAAGTCTGTTTTCTTTTTTCTTTTTATTTTATCAATGAAATATTATCCTGAATTTACTAGTAATTTTAGAACAACTAAAATGGTTATAAATAAATGGACACAAAATATGGGTCAGATAAATTGACTGATAGACTTTGTTTTTTACTGGACAATGTCTGATGTTCTGGCTATTTTGAGCCCTGTGTATGTATTTATATATATATTAGATATCTTTGATATAATTTAGATTTAATATAATACATTTAGATAGAGTTTTGCATGCGTAGGTTGCTTGAATTTGCTCCATACTGTGTAGGCTACAAATGCCTTCAAGCAGAATGTTTGGCTCTTCTGGGAAAATTTAATGATGCTCAAGTAATAGCAAAGTAATTGTTTCTATATTTTTTATGTCATTTGTGTTTGAACTAATAATGAATTTACATTACTTTCATTATGAACCATTATAAGCTGAGGAACAAAATTTCAGATTTGAATTTTTTTTTCTAGTAACTGTTAAAAAATTTTGAAATTTTAAGGAGGTTATTAATTTAAAATCTAATCAACTATTAATCAGACAAGGTTCTTTTAGCTTTATAAGATATCATGACAAATTTTAAATTGATTTGCAACTAATTGAAGTATTAGCACTTTAAATGATGTTTAAAAACTGAAGTATAGAACTAGTTTTAAATTGATTGACAAAGTTTTTATTATGTTGGTAACATAGTGTTGCTTTATTATGTTGATAACATAGTGTTGCTTTATTATGCTGATAACATCGTGTTGCTTTATTATGTTGATAACATAGTGTTGTTTTATTATGTTGATAACATAGTGTTGTTTTATTATGTTGATAACATAGTGCTGTTTTATTATGTTGATAACATAGTGCTGTTTTAGTCTTCACAGTAAAATTTAAAACCTGCATAATTAAAAACTTAGTGGTGGTCAACAATTTTTGTGTTTATATAAGTTATTATATAAAGGACTTTGGTTTTGAATTATGATTGTGTTGCGAGGCTTATAGACTATATTGAATTTAGAGCTTTGGGCCTATAAAGGAATTTAGAGCTTTGGGCCCTATTCTTTTTAACACAGAGTCCCAGAACTCTTTGTAGTCATTTTGCAAAATTGATAGTTCAGGTTCCCTAATGTTATGATTTTTCCCTGTAATAGTTTAGTCATTGTAAAAGTTTCTCATCTTTCAAGTTTTTAGGACACAGTAGCTTTTACTCAGCAAATAAAAGCTACTGTGTTGATGAAATGTTAGTGCGTTGAAAGCCTAAATTTTTATGTACTTTGCTGAAATTTGAAATGCTTGTGCCTTGTGTTGGTAGCTAAAACATCAGTTGTTGTTTAAAAATGCTTGTGCCTTGTATTGGTAACTAAAATATCAGGTGTTGTTTTAAAATGCTTGTGCTATGTGTTGGTAGCTAAAACATCAGGTGTTGTTTAGAAAGCTAAAAGGTGTTGTTTAGAAAGCTAAAACATCAGGTGTTGTTTAGAAAGCTGAAATATAGTATAAGCATTTCAGCTTTTATTATTTGCAAAATGTCATAATAGATATGTAAAATAAAATATTAAATGACTTTCTTATTAGTGAAGTTTTGAGAAAAGACTCCAATAATGCTGATGCTTTATTTGTACGTGGACTCTGCTTATATTACCAGGTAAGTTCAAAAATTATTATTTTTTTGATTTGTTTTGATTTTTTTGCGTGTATGTGTTTAAATTTATTTACTTTATAATCAGGATCAAACCGAACGCGCTTGTAAACTATTTCAACAACTTTTGAAAGTAGATCCTGATTTTAAAAAGGCAAAGGAAGCTTATAAAGTATGTGTCATTTGTTAAATTTTTCTTATTTTTTTAAAATTATAGCATTTTGGATGTATCTCCCTTTTTTTTTTCATTTGCTGCAATGACTACTAACCACTACACTTGAACAAAATGCAACCTTATTTTTTGCTGTAGGGTTTATAAAACTTTATTACCACGTGGGTCAAAACAAACAAATAAATCATGGTCCAAAACAACTTTTTTTTTCTTGTTTGTTGCATAATATGTCTATAATAGTCTATGAAGTGTGTTCTACTTTGCGTTACTTCTTTGATCAGATTTTTGTATAAGTTTCACAAACTTTATTATTTGTTTTCTTTTTGTTATCATCATCATCATCATCATCATCATCATCATCATCATCATCATCATCATCATCATCATCATCATCATCATCATCATCATCATCATCATCATCATCATCATCATCATCATCATTGTCCTCTTAATAATCACCATTAACACAAATCATTTTGTCAATTCAAACAATCTTCTGGTTAGAGTTTTTTTAAAATTGTTTGAGAACCTGCATATTTCTTTTTTTACAAAATCTTATCCTTAATAGCAAGCAGTAAAAAATGTTAATATTAGTGCAGTCTTTTGCAATATATAAATTTTTTTCCTAATTGTTGAGCATTCAATATAATTTCATATAAATCATAACAAGTAAAGTTAAAAAATGATTTAAAAGTCTTTGACTTGCTTATCTCTATGTTATAGTTTCTAGTGATGTACCAATTGATTGATAATTTCTAGTGATGAAGACCAATTAATTGATAGTTTTCCAATTAATTGGCATAGACTTAATAGCCAATTTTTGCACAATCTGCATCTCTATCATCATCAGCTTCTTTATGTTGATTTGATAATTTCTAGCTAATAATATTTAGCAAACAAGACAAAACAACAAAAAGAAAACCCAACAAAACAAGTTACGTAAACAAAATTCTAAACATTAATAATGGTTTTTAAAGTAAACCTTTTGATCTAGTTTTGATCCAAGTAATTGTTTACCTGATTCATTTCAGTAATGCCTAAATTATTAACAGCTCTACTCATTAATGTTGGATGTCTTTATTTTTTTGGTATGTTTTAAGTTTAAATGATTTCGCATTTTAAATTTTTATACATTTAATAATTGATTAATCTATTCTTATTAACATCAGCCTTTTTTTTCCCATTGGTAGCAGCAATTGTGCAGTTGGTACATCGCTAATAATATCTAATCATTATCTTTCTTGTAGTTAAAGAAAGATTTAAATGTAAAAATTAGATCTTTTTTTTTAGGCTTTTCAAAACTCAAATATTAAAATGTCTCATAATTGAATCTGAAAATCTAAGACGTATTTGGATATAAGCTTCTTTGATATAGAATTATACTTGTTATATTGTTTAAATAGTGCTAACTAACAGTAATTGACTCATATAAAAAGTCATTAATTGGGGTATTAAAAGTTACCTAATATCTTAGTAAAAAGAGTTTTGGTTAATGATACACAAAAACTCCAACATTTTTTTTGCACTAAATGAATAAACTACATTTAAATCTATTTTTTAAAATAAGCAAGTTTTATTTTGTGAAGTGTCACATAGCACCCTTTTGTGAAGCATGGCACCCTTATTATAAAAAGATTACATTATTTCTAAGAGTGTTGAAGATAGTTTAAGTCTAAAACAAAGGCTTACAACAAATTATTATGAACAAATTATTAATTATTATGAGCAAAACAAAATAAAACAACTGTATTATTAATAAGATAAATACAACATAGTTTTTTTAAAATTTATTAGCTCAAACAGTGCCGGTTTAACCACTGAACACACTAAACACGTGCTGGGAGGCCATGGAGTTCAAGGAGCCAGAGCATTTAAGTGAATATTTGAGAGATAAATTTGAAAGAAAAATTACTATCGGCCTCTATCCTTGACTTCCTCTCATGTCCAAGAGATTTTTAATCGTTGCATAACAGCGCATACAACATTGCAAACTGGACATTTTATTTTTTTAACGATTGGAAAGAACTTTCAAGTTCGAACATGATGGTGAAAAAAGAAATTTAAAGTACTTGAATATTTTATTCATTGCTCATTCTCATAGGATTACCATTCCGCAGATCAGACAAAAAACTAGAATTGATGAGCAACGGAAATTTGTATTGAGCTATTAGTAACGGATATATTAAGCTATTAGTAAAATTTGATTCTTTCCTTGCCCAACATTTGATAACTCATGGAAACAAAAAAGAAGATTGTAAGTCATACTTATTTAGAAGATTTCCAAAGAACTCATTCACTTAGCCGCTAGGTTATGGAATTTATAGGTAATATGATCATTCTTAAGTAACGTTCATCGTTGATTCTACTTCCAATGTACAAAATGGAAAACCAGTTGAGCGGCTTTTAGTATTTATTCCCATGCATAATCATTTTGCAACTTCCATGCTTGAAATTGTTTTGAAAAAGTTAGATTAGTATGCATTTAACATTCAAAATGGCTCTGGCCAGTCATACAACAATGCTAGTAATATGTCTGGTATCTACTTTGGTTTACAAGCAAGAATTACAGAGATCAACGTTCTCGTTGAATAGATTCCATGTACTGCTCACTATTTGAACCTTGTAGTTTGAGTGTCGCAGAATCCAACAAAGCTGCTGTTGATTTCTTTAGCTTTCTTCAAAAAATGTATAACTTCCTTTCTGCATCAACGCATTGATGTCTTAAAGTCAAAGTTCTTTGCATTAACGCATCAACGTATCTTAAAGTCTAAGTTCCTTGCTGGAATACGTTTTAAGGTTCCCTAGACTCTCTCACAAACTCGTTGGTCAGCTCGTGCTGATGCTTATTAAGCAATTGAAAAGGGTTGTTCTATTTTTAAGGTGATTAATCATGAAAAAATTGATTAAAAGCATCTTTTATTTGTAGTTGTGCACACTTATTAATAAATATTTTCTATATAGAGGGCTTTTCTTGATATTAATGACAATCAGAAATTAAAGTCAAGAGCAAAGGCCTTTGGACTTTTGACCAAAATGGAACAACTTGAGACAGCTATTTTAATAATCATTCAAAATAGAATCATGGAATAGTTAACAAAGTTAACAAGAAACTGTAGTTTGTAAAGCTTGATTTAGGTATGGTTGAAGAACTTTACAATTCCCTGGAGCATTATGTCCAGCAAGTTTGCTCTAATTTCGAGCAATTAAAAAAGCTAGTCGTGTCTTTGGTCAACACGGATGAATAAGTCTATGTTCAAAGGCTCCCAAGAGTACACAAAAGGCATTAGGATGATGAAATTAACAGTGGGGAAACTATAGTGTTTTCTAGGCAATTTTAAACGATTGCCGATGTTAATGAGGTCATGGACAAACTAATGAGTGATATAGATAAAAAAAAGAAAGTATATTCTGGATTGAGCTCTCTGTTTGGTTTTCTTGTAAACCTCTGCAGCATGGATATCTTGGAGATAACTTGCAGTGCGCAACAACTTGTTGACCGATATCCTACTAATCTTAACTTTCACTTTTTGAACGAATGTCTTCCTTTTGGAACTTTTTTCTTTTAGATTTTTCTAAAAGACGTTCCTGAAAAAACGTCTTTTAGAAAAATCGTTCAAATAGAAAACCGAGTATTGGATTCCATCTACCTAAAATCAGCATTTGCAAGCATTAAATGCAGAGGAAAGGTATTTTAAAACCATTACTAATTGCAACTTAGTTTTAATAATAAATAACGTGAGAATCTCGTTTAAATGCAAAAGAAAATACATTATAAAGCCATAGCGCAACAATTACAAAGATTTTTTTATTTTAAACTGCTGTTAAATTTGAAAGCTAGGAGGCCAACAGGCCAGGAAGCCTAAAGTGCCGGGAGGCCACAAAGTACTTAATTCGGCCCTGAGCTCAAATAGTAACAAGCATGATAATTAACAGTTAAAAAAAATTAACTTATTATCATGTCATTAAAAACAGGTAAAAAAAAATTGTAGTTACACCAGTAAACAAAATTATTCTTATTTTAATTTTTTTAAATTAAATCTAACTGTTAGTTAGATTTTATTTAATTGTTAGTTAATAAGCGTTGTTAGTGGATAAGTTTAATTTTGTAAAAATTTTTAAATAAAAACTAAAATAAAATATAAAATTCTTCCAATAACAAAAGAAAATTGTGTTTTACTCATGTGCTTCATGAATTCGTCTTTTTTTTTGAGTGTATTTTTTAAATATATTTTGTATATATATATATATATATGTATATATATATATATATATATATATATATATATATATATATATATATATATATATATATATATATATATATATATTCAGCGCATTTTTTACATGCAGCAACTTAAAACATGTAAAGAACCGTACCCAAGTTGTTGATTGAAAATAATATATGTATGGTCATATAAGTTGTCGGCTGAGAAGGCTTTAGTTGTAACAATGTAATATAAACTAAAATCTTGAATTATCAGCACAAGCAGACTCAGCAATACAAAATATTTACAGCATTGATGATATACAATGACTGAAACCACAAATAAGTATTCCAGCTTGTGTTAATCAAACGCGCTCACAACTTAGATGAGAAATAATTAGAAACTGTCAGCCTTGACATGACATTTGTAACAAACTCCACAAGCACATACCAAATGCAAACAATGTTAAATCAAGATATCACATGAAATTTATTACCATTAGTTGACAAAACTACCACAAGTTGTCATCTACTGTTGACACGCTCTGCACTATTTAAATGCTGTTTAAATGTGCTGCAGCTTATTAAACTACTACTACTACTACTACTACTACTACTACTACTACTACTACTACTACTACTACTACTACTACTACTACTACTACTACTACTACTACTACTACTTAAACTTAAGTCAAGTATATATTTATTTTATTAATATCTAGTAGATGTATGATTAAATTTTAATGAACAAACATACAATTTCAAAATTATATACAAACTGTAAGTTATACAACAGAATGTAACTAAAATGCAACATCAGCAACTACAAAAACAAATTTTATTTGAATAGCAAACTCTATAACTTAAAATAATAGATAAATGCAATTCATGCAATGTATTAGTGATTTTTTTTTTTTTCTTTTTGGTAAATTGGTTCTGACATTTAATGTTAAATATTAATTGGAAAATTTAGTAATGCAGTAGTGTTAGACCACTTGCTTGCTCCATAACAAACCCAAGGTTTATATTACACTTGCTGCACTAGTTGTTAAACACATATTTACTAAGTAAAATTTATTCATGGGTTTTTAGTACTAGTAAAAAAAATTCAAATAAAGGTATTCCAATCTACTTATAGAATTCCTCAGAATATTTAATACTTCTTGGCACTTCATGATTCAATACCTTGCAAATTGCAAAGTATAAAATCATCAGAGTTTTTTTATTTTTATCCGTCAATAGACTGTTCAGTAGACATTATTTAAGAAATATATAGTCAATTATTTTTTAACCTTGCATATATAATTATAGCTCTTCTTTAAATATATGCTATAAAATTATATTTTTTTGATTATTTATTTAGAAAGCGAAAAGTCTTGAGTCACTAAAAGGTGCTGGAAATAATGCGTTCAGAGATCAAAAGTACACAGAAGCCTGCGATTTTTATACAAATGCACTTAAAGTTGATCCTCTAAATGTTAGTGCAAACTCTAAAATATATTGTAATCGTGCTACAGTTAACTACAAACTTGGACAAATTGAAAATTCAATAAAAGATAGCACATCTGCAATAGAACTAGATCCAACATATTTAAAGGCATACTTAAGAAGAGCAAAATGGTTAGTAAAATTTAAATCTTATAAAGCATTTCATTAGCATTTCCTTTGTTTGTTTATATATTTGCAAGGTAGGAGATAGGGTCCAATCAACAAAGCTCCTTCAACAATGCTCCTTCAACCTGCGTATATAAATGCCTTGTATTTTATCTCAGAAATTACCTTCTAGAGACTTTAGAAAAACTTTAACTGTATCATTAACAAAGACTAGTCTAACATTTCATTACCCATACGTGGGTCTAATTTTACTTCTGATTTGGTAACTGTTATAACAGAAAGCTTCTATTGTGAATTAGATGGAAGCAGGGATGCGAAGTCCCAGAAAGACTCTGGCCTTATATCTCCAGGTCTGTAGTGTCTAAAAGATTGTTCCTATTACCTAAAAGTCTTACTTTTTTTCCTATCAGTAGTCCATAAACCTTTTTATATTTTTAGAGCTCCTGGATACCAAAAACTATAAAGAAGTAGTTTTTTTGTGACTTTCAAATCCGGAGTCCATTTTGGGGCTCTGCACCCCTGGATGGAAGTGCTAAAACAAAGTCTATTTCTATCATATCAAAATCTGTTTCTATCATATCAAATGTCATAAACACTCATATCATATTATATAAGGACATGCTCTTGCAGCAAGTAGTATCATATCAAAAAGTACCAAGTAGTATCATATCAAGAAGGACAAGTAGAAGTATCATATCAAAAAGAACCTGCTCTTGCAGCCAATCTCCAACCATTATCACATCGTTGTAGTGTTGCTTCTCTTTCTTTTTTCTACAAATACTATAATGGGCACTGCTCTAAAGAGCTAGCGTCTCTTGTGTCATCTACTAAAATTCATTCTTGTGTTACTCGTCATTCAATTAAGTCTCATCTTTTTTCTGTGACTGTTCCTAAGTGCTCCAAAAACTCTTATTCTTCTAGTTTTTTTCCTCGAACATCAGTTCTTTGGAAGTTGCTTCCTTCATCTTGCTTTCCTTATTCATGTAATTGTTCCTTATTAATGAATGGCAACACTCTTACTGAATCCTCTATTTAATGTCTCTAATTATCTTTTACTTCTGCCTTTTTTTGGAAACTATATATAGAATCTATAACAAAGTAAGCATCTGTTTGGGTTGTCTCTTTTTATTGTATTTTTAATCATGGTTCCATTTTTTACCACTATAAATGATTTGTTCATTCTAGTATAGAATACTGTTGTCATATTTAGGCTAGTTCTTCTTATGATGTCTTTTCTTTTTTTGACCTAAAGACCTTTTAGGCCTTAAAATGCATTTTAAATGTAGTTAGACCTCTTTAGAGTATCTGTTCCATTTTTATAAAATTGCAACTTATTTCTACAAAAACTACCTTGGTTGCTGAGTCAACAGTTATTTTGTTGGAAAAAATGACCGAGCGTTGTTTATTACTACTTAGATGGCTTTTTTTTTAAAAGCTAAATTATTTATTGCTAAGACTAGTTAGTAGTTTTTACTTTAACTTAATAGAATTCTCGTCTCTATATTAATTATTCATGTAATTGTGATTGCATTAATTTTTAATATAAGGATGAGACATCTTTACTTTAAATTAAGTTAAACATTGTTGCAATAAATTGAAATTACCTCTACATTAGGTCAAACAATGTTACAATAGAATAACACTAATCTTTATCATTATATATTTTTTTAATTTATTTATTTGAATTTTCATGCTACATTTTGCTATACAATGATGTAGCCAAAAATATTGTTGGCTTAGCATAGGAACAGCCACAAATAGTCATTAAGACTAATCCAAAGTTGCGTTTGTTATTGACCAACATCTTTGCGAACAGAAATACTACTCAAGCGCTGAGTTGACAGTGGCAGGATTGACAGTGGCAGGAACCCGTATCGTACAACAGTCCGGGTTTTAACTTAATTTCGTTTGATGCTCTAACCAACTGAGCTATTCAGCCACATATAGTTTTTTAATATTTAAAAGAAATTTCAAATTTTTTGTTTTGAGTTATGAGTTTTTTGTGTAAAACAATATATAAACAATATAATTATTTTTGCACTTAAAACAGTAAATAATATGTTTATAATTATATTTTTTTTATAATGATTTTTTTTTTACTGTGTTAAAAATGATTTTTTTTTTCCAGTTATATGGATACAGAAAAATTTCAAGAAGCAGTTAATGACTATGAAAAAATATGTAAAATGGATCATAGTGCTGGTTTGTATTAAGTTTTATAATTTATAAATAATCTTTATAATTTAATAAGTTTTATAATTTATAACAAAAAATTTTTTTTTCTTAAACATAATGTAAAAAAAAAAAAAAAACTTTAAAATTTTTAGATAATAGAAATCTTCTAAAGGAAGCAAAACTTGAACTTAAAAAAAGTAAAAGAAAAGATTACTACAAAATATTAGGCATCCCTAAATCAGCGCAAGAAGCAGATATAAAAAAAGCATATAGAAAAGAAGCATTAAAACATCATCCAGGCAAGCTTCTTTTTTTTAAACACCTTTTTTGTTTTCTTTTTTATTATTATTTTATTATACTCATTAATTTTCTAAATATAATTTTTTTCATTTGTTCATTGTTCTTAATTTATAAGGCCTGTAATTTTATATTGTTCAAAGAAGTTATTTAATTGTAACTGGTAATAATTCCTTATGCAATATAGTAACAAATAGACTAAAAATAGACAAATGCTATAGTTTTTTGTTTGTTTGTTAATAAATCAATATTTTATACCACGCTTTGTCATACCATGAAATAGTATGACATAGCGGTATAAAATATTAATTTATAAACAAAAGGTTGATAATTAAAAGTATAAAATAAATTGTTAAGTTTGCTTTACCCCAAGATTAATATTGAGTTACAATATACTTATTTTAAACCCTGAGATTAGTCTATGTCTGAATAAAACTGCCTTCAAACATCTACATCAAGTGACTGATGACTATATGTACCAGCATGCAAAACTAATTTTATTTTAAATGTAAAGTTACTATTTGATAATATGTCACATATATCAGTGTCCTTTAGTTTATAAAACAATGACAGTGTGGTTTGTAAATAAGAAGTTGTTTAGATTAGTTTTTCAATTGTTGTCAAACAATTATAATAAAAATTATTTTTTCTGGATATATTTCTAGATAATATATTTAAATTTTAAAGTCATATGTTTGATAAAGGCCAGTAAAAGAGGTCAAGTAAAAATGTGGGCAGTGACACGTGATTAAACAAAGATTAAGAAAACTAAAACTTAAGCCTACACACAGACAATGTCGATGTTTGTTTCTGTTTGAGCTGTATGTACTTGTGCTGATTTAATGTTATTTCTACAGTAGATAGCTACTTCCACTACATACAGTAGATAGCTACTTCCACTACATACATTAGATAGCTACTTCCACTACATACAGTAGATAGCTACTTCCACTACATACAGTAGATAGCTACTTCCACTACATACAGTAGATAGCTACTTCCACTACATACAGTAGATAGCTACTTCCACTGCCAATTTTTATGCAGTCTTTACAATAAATTGAGTAATCTTATGGACAAATATTAGAGCCAGATAGTTTACTAGTAAAAAATATTTCACAAATAAAAGTTATGGCAGGTTTGCATGCCTGCGTAAATAAATAAAATTTATGATGCTTATTTGCAAGGCTTCTTGCTTCTTAAATTGAAAATGTAGAACAAGGATTTGAAAAAATTTTATCTTTAGTTTTAATACAATTTAGTTTTAAATTAATTGATTTATTATGACATTTTTTTGCACAATTTATTTTGCTTTGTATACTCAATTTTAATATAAATGGTTTTTTTTTTTTTTTTTTTTTTTTTTTTTAACATCTTCACTTCCAACAAGGCTGCAAGCAACCACTATAAGAGTTGGAAGTTGCTGGAAGAGAGAAGACTAAATCTGTAGAGCAAGATAACGATTGACTGATGACTTAAAAGATTGCAAATTATATGAATCAGGAAAGCAAGATGAAGGAAGCGAATTCCTAAGAACTGATGTTCGAGGAAAAAAACTAGAAGAATAAGAGTTTTTGAAGCACTTAGGAACAGTCACAGAAAAAAGATGAGACTTAATTGAATGGCGAGTAACACAAGAATGAATTTTAGTAGATGGCACAAAGGGCGCTAGCTCTTTAGAGCAGTGCCCATTATAGTATTTGTAGAAAAGAGAACGAGAAGCAACATTACGACGATGTGACAAAGGTTCGAGATTGGCTGCCAGAGCAGGTCCAACTATGTTTACAATTCGTTTTTGCACCTTGTCTAAAAGAGAAAGAGCATCATTAGAAGATCCGCCCCAGATGTGGCAACAGTATTCCATACAGGGACGGATTTGAGATTTATAGAGATAGAGAATAGAATCTGGAGTAAGAAAGTGTCGAGCTCGATAAAGAGATGCAACCTTAGCAGATGTTAATTTTGCAATGGATTTGATATACGGTTTAAAAGAAAGATCAGAAGTAAGAGTTAATCCTAGAAGATGAATGGTAGATGACTCATCTAGTACATTACCATTCATAAATATAGGAAGATCTAAATTATTACGATAACAATTGGCCGAATAAAATTGAGTTTTATCTGAATTAAAGTTCACCAGCCACTGTGAGCCCCATGCTGTAGCAGAAGTGAGATCCTTTTCAAGCTCAGATACCCCCTCCAAGCAATCAGAGAGTGTAGGCTTCTTATCATGACAAGAGTAAATGGTAGTGTCGTCAGCGAATAATGCCACCTTAGATGTGAGAATATCTGGAAGATCGTTAATGTAAATTAAAAAAAGTATAGGGCCAAGGATTGAATCTTGAGGAACCCCTGAAGTTACAGGATGTGAAGAAGAGTGTTGTCCATCGAGGACAACTTTTATACTACGATTGGAAAGAAAGGACTCAATAATCTTAAAGACGTTACCAGCTACACCATAAGAAGAAAGCTTATGGAGAAGACCAACATGCCAAACTTTATCAAAAGCTTTAGAAATGTCAAGTGCGATAGCCTTAACCTCTCCACCTCTATCTAATGCGCGGTAAAACCTGTCGGTTATTACTGTTAGCACATCAGCTGTAGAACGAGAAGACCGAAATCCATATTGATGATCAGAAAGTAAGTTATTTGATTCAAGATGAGAGATTAAGTGTTTGTTGATTAAAGATTCAAAAACCTTGCTTATGACAGGAAGAAGACTAATGGGACGGTAGTTAGATGAATCAGATCGCTCTCCGGAATTTTTAAAAATAGGGATAACAGATGCTGCTTTCCAGCATGATGGAAAACAAGACTCTGATAAGCACTTGTTAAATAGTTTAGAAAGTATGGATGAAAGCTCCGGAGAACACCTCTGCAAGACTACAACAGGAATGTTGTCAGGACCACAAGCTGTTGAAGAGTCTAAGCAGGAAATTACTTTAGATACAGAAGCTGAAGTGATGCGAATGTCAAGCAAGGGATCAACCTGTTTGACGGCTATGTCAGGTAAAACGCAACTAGTGGAATCAAGAGATGATATTGATGAAAAGTTCTTAGCAAACAATTCAGCTTTGTCTTTAGGTGAGGTGACAAAGTCTGAACCATACAAGAGAGAAGGAATAACAGATTTGCCCTTATTATTGATACTGTTAAAGATTCTCCAGAAGTCTCGAGAGCCTAATTTTTGTGATGAGATACGAGATTTAATGACCTGGGAATAGCGAGCTTTGGCGTCAGATAAAACCTTTTTACAATGGTTTCTGGCGATAGTGAACAGATGTCTGTTTTCTGGAGAATTGTTTTGCTGATAGATATGGAAGTAACGGTTTCGATTAGAAATTGCTGCAGCGCAATGTGAGGAAAACCAAGGAGAAGAGTGAGGCTTGACCTGGAATCGTCGAGAGGGAATAAAAGATTCCATGCCAGCCTGAATCCATGAAGTTATGTAAGAAGCACATTTGTCAGCAGGAAGACGAAAGATTTCTACCCAAGGGCCATCACGAAGAAAATCACGGAAAGAGTCCCAGTCAGCTTTAAGGTAGTTGTATGTGGTACGATGATAAGGGGATTCTGATGAAGTAGAAGAATTTGATAATAGTTTTAGAGAGATCAAACCGTGATCAGAAGTACCTAAGGGTGAATGTGGAGAAATTGAGCACTGACTAGGATCCAAAACAAGACATAAGTCGAGTAGAGAAGGTAAATGATTAGGGTTGTCTGGAAAACGAGTTGGAAAGTTGACTATTTGAGTTGGAGATTGAGAAAGGCAAAAGTTGAGGGCCTTAACGCCAGCAGAGTCACTGACACTAGAGCCAAGCCAATCGGTGTGATGGGCATTGAAGTCACCAACAACGACGATATTGGCCGATGGATAAAGAGAGAGGGCTTGGTCAATTTGATCAGAAATAACATCAAGAATAGTGCAATCTTGGGATGAAGGAGAGCGATATAGAACAAAGAGAAAGGCGATAGAGTGAAGTTGTGCTAAACGAAAGCACATAAATGAATAGTCTGTAGATTCAAACCTAGTTTCACGACAAATGGGTGAGTTCTTACGAATGTAGATGCCCAGGCCAAGCATGTGATTATTGGAGTCTTTACGAATTAAAGGAAGATAACCATCAACACTAAGATCACAAGATGGGACAGCCGAACTCAAATTAGTCTCACAAAGAGCAAGTAGGTCTGGTGAACTTTGCAAGAGATAAGACTCAACAGAAGAAAAGTTACTTCGAAGACCACGAATATTAGTAAATGATAGGTTTAGAGAACTTGGTGATGACGATGGTTTTTTGTGTTTTTTAGTTTTAGGTACTTTAGTCATTTTAAATTTATAAAGAACTTGACTCAAGTATAGATAGTACTCAGTACACTATTTAACAACTAAGCAATAGCCTTGATTAGTTTACTACATATACATGTCAATGTTCTGAAATACAATGAGTTCTATGATTTAATTTCCTGTAGTTAAAATTTTATTAAAATGCGATTTTACTATTATAACAACTCTGTGGTTTCATAACAGTTAAAACAACAGAGTTTGCAAACAACAAAAACCATAACAATATTGCAAAAATTTTGCAATTATTTTAAGTTTATATCTTATTTTATTTAAAGCATAAACTTGATTAAAATATTTTTAAACTCACTCAAACTTTTCAATAGTTTAGCTACTTTTTAAATAGAATTATGAACTATTTTGTTATTTAAACAATTATAAAAGGTGGTTGCCTATCTGTTTTTAATTTGAGTTTTATAATTTGCTCAACTTTCAGGTTAATTGAATTAAACTTCTTGGATTTTACCTTTTTCTTATTGCACTAGATTAATCTAATACTTTAGATGCAAATATTATTTTTAATGTAATAATAGTTTGGTTTCTCCCTTTTTTTTTTTTTTTTTTTGGCTCTAACAGCATCTATTTGGTGTAGCTGCTTTTCTAATTTTTTTGTGGGCGCTCTTCCATTTACAATGCTTGCCCATGATACTAAGGGTGTTGATTTGACAGGTTTGACCTTTTCAAACATTTTTTTTTTCTTTCTGTTAGCATTAAGTTGGAGTTTTTTGAGTTTCTTGATAGTCATGTTTAATGCTTTGATTAATTTTTTTTGCTCTGTCTGGAAAACATTAAATTCTGTTGACTGAACACTGGCCATAGTTGTTCACATTTTTTTTACAAAAAGTTGCAATGTTTACTTTAATTGAAACTTTGAGAAATATTTTTTTTCTGAAATAATACCTCTAATTACTTTAAAAGCAGGAGTTCAGTAGAAAACCCATATCCTATACTTTTCGTTTTATTTCTTAGATCGTCATTCAAATTCAACCGATGAAGAAAAGAAAAAAGAAGAAATTATATTTAAAGAGGTATTTTTTTAATAATGATTAGTTTAAGATCTAAAAAATGATTTTTAAACTTCAAATATTCAATAACAGTTTTTTAATTAAATATAATCAAAATTTTTTAAATTTATTTTATAGCATTTAACAACAATAAGAAATCAAGTGTCTTAGTTTCTTAATTTTGCTAATAAATAAAATCTATTGCTGAGTGTGAGCTCATTTAAAAGTGTGTTAAAAGTTTTGTGTAGAGTATTTTTAATATTTATTTCTAATGTATTTATTATGTTTGATCAGAGGTTTTTTATTTTGTAAACCATTAAATATTGCAATTATCATTGTAGATATGGTTTTGGCAAGAATTGTAAAATTTTTCTTTAATAGAAACATTTTATTTTTCAATTGCAAAATGGCGTTTGTGAATAATTCATTAAAGATATAAATATTTTGTTTATTTAAAAAAATGTTTTTAAATGTGTTTGAAGCTTATATTTCTGTTGGTATATAGATAGGTGAAGCTTACAGTGTTTTGTCAGATCCTCAAAAGAAACAAAGGTATGATTCTGGACAAGATCTAGAAGAATGTGGAATGGATATGGGAGGTATAGAAATTTAAGTCATTTGGAAATGGTTTTTTTAATAATTACAATAATTAACATGTTTTAACCACTTTCACAACCATATTAAGCTTTTAGATTTGTCATTTACAATATTTTGTCTCATTATTTTAGATTAACTTAATAAAGTGTTTTTGTTATTGTTCAATCTTATAATTTAACAAAATTATATGATTAATTAATTTTTGCAATTATAAAGTCATTTAAATGTAAAAAAAATAAATGTAAAGCTACTGGAAATTTTTTTGTTTATGCTAAGGTTTTGATCCAAATTTGATATTCCAAACATTCTTTGGTGGTGGTGGTGGCGGGTTCCATTCGCGAGGTTAGTTTTTTTCTATGAGTTTTTTATTTTTTATTTTTTAACTGCTTCACTTGTAGAAATTTAAAACTTTTATGAACAATAACATTCTTTGTTGTCATTTAAGGTCTTTTTTTTGACAATAAACTTTTATTCTTAAAAATTTTGATTTGTTTTGTGTATGTGTGTATGTGTGTGTGTGTGTATGTGTGTGTGTGTGTGTGTGTGTGTGTGTGTGTGTGTGTGTGTGTGTGTGTGTGTGTGTGTGTGTGTGTGTGTGTGTGTGTGGTGTTGCTTTTATATATATTGCATTTGTTGTAAAAAAGTAAATTGTTTTATTAATTGAGAAGAAATAAAAGTATATTTTATAATTATTATGAAATCTGTGATTTATTTTGATATTTTTATGAAATCTGTATAGATTTTATTTTACCACTCCTATTATAAATAAAGGAATATTTACTTAGTGCTCAGATACATAAATGAAAGAAAACATAGATTTATGCATAACAATAGATACACAGTCGAATTTAGATTCAGTAATGCTAGTTGAGTGAGATTAATTAACAAGACTGGTGAACAAGTTGCTGGATCTATTTTAAGTTGAAGGAAGTGTCAGTGACAAAATGATTTCTAAGTTTTAAAAAACAAAGGTAATTGTCGAGCGTTGAGTAATGAGAAGTATGTCACATGGTATGCATTTCAAAGTTTTAAAAAGTTCGAATTTAGTTTTAAAAAAAAAAAGTTAGAATTTAGGAAATTTTCCATTGTTGTACAAGTTCTTGTAACTTCAAAATTAGTTAAATCAACAATTGATCAAGTCAAATCAAGTTTAGTTAAACACTAGATGTGAATTGTTAATAAAATTGCTCTTTGCTTAATTGTATCTAACCTTGTAAGCAGTTTGGTATTGGTATTAAAGTAAACAGTTTAAAATTAGTATTACTGGAAGTAGTTTGATATTGTATAATAGCAATTTTTCTATTAATGTAAAACTAGACAGTATACTTAAAATCACAGAATTATCAAAACCCATTGTATAAAACCACCTACTTAAATGTTGGTCAAAATAGGTTTTAGACATCGCCGCTCCTTTGCCCATTCTTGAGACCTGCTAGAGGAGGGCAACAAATCCCTGTTCATTATTTCAGTTAAAATGAGCAATATTTATATGCCCCCTCAAACCCCTGGTTATATATATATTTATTCTAAAATTTGTTTTGTAATAATTGTTCTTAATACTAAACAATCTTTTAAGTTACAAATAACAACAAATTTTCTAAACCAATGAAAGTAATAATCCTAACAATCCTATGTTTTTCTAAATTTAATTTTTTTTAATTTGTAAATTTAGGTGGTCAACACAGTCAATTTCCAGGAGGGTTCTCGTTTTCATTTGGTTAACATTACTTTTATTGGAGTAGCACTACTATCTGAAGTTTACAGTACAAATATGAGACTTAATCAAGCTTCATAAACAGTGAAGGGACAAAATGTTCGAATGTTCAATACATCAATTTTTAAATGTAATTTATGTCAGATGTTTAATCATTACAAATTTGTATACAATTTTATGTTCTATTTTCTACCAATGCATCAATTCAGTTTACTTTGTATATTTTTTCATAATAATCAAAAACATTTGACATTTTTTATTGTTACTGGATTAAATTGTATAGTAAAATAAACTAAAGAATATAGTAATCTAGAATAAAAGAAAACTTTCTATAAATACTTATTGTCTTCCCTTTTTAATTGTACTTTCCTGCCTATTTATAACATATTAGATTGTTTTTAATAGTTGTCATGGTTGTTAATAACTGTCATGGTTCTCAATTAATTGTTTTAATTGTTTTCAATAGCAGTCATTGTTTTATTTTTTTTATATAGAAAGATGTTATGCTTGAAGACCTGTTAATTTATATTTTCTTAAAGAGAAGTTGCAATCACTTTTAAAATTTTAAAGTTATTTTTTTCATCCAGTTAATTTTGCAAAAAAGATTGATAAAAAAAGTTAAGTTATGATAAAGTATATTAATCACATAGCAACAGCTGTTATTGCAAGCACTGCTGCATGTCTTGGTGGATATTTTATTTACAAAATACATAACAAAAAGCAGTTGGTTAAAAAAAAAGTTCATGAAATAGTAAGTTTTCTTCAATTTCCTATTTGTTAATTTTCTTTGTGATTTTTTTTTTCAACTGTAGAACTTTTTATTATTCTTTTCATTAATATAAACATAATTATAGAAAACTATATAATATGACAATAATAATAAGTAAACAATTTTTAAGAATTGTATTGAGTTATGAATCCAAAGGACACAATAAATCTCTGCATTTTGCTACATGCTGTCATTTCTTTATGGATCTACATATTTATTTTAATTTCCATAAATAAATCTAAGTAATTCCAAATCAAATTGTAAATAATCTAAAATGTTACCTTATATTTCAATTGTTTGATTTTAAAAGTTTTAGGAACTAAATGAAGCTTAAAGTCTTAACATTCAGATTTTAATGGCTTTATTGATTTTAGCACTAGTTAAATAAAAAATATATTCAAAATAAAAAAACCTAAATTAAAAATACCTAAAAATAAAGTAGTTTTAAAGTCTGTATACTAATTATAACTAATGACAACTAATTAATGCCTTAAATTTAAAATTTTAATTTGTTTTGATTATAATTTTTTTTGTTTTATTTTTGAACATTTAATTTCTTCTAATTTTCTGCTTCTAGAGATAATTGTAGCCAGGGTTGGGGTCAAACATGTCTAATCAAGTACAAATACAAATACATTAATTTTAGATTTTTAAATACAAATTCAAATCAAAATATATGGAATTAGCATTTTTCTTTACTTTGTTTATGGAGCTGCAAATACATTTCAATCAATTACAAATACAATTATTTAAGAACTTTTATTATCAAATACAATAATTTTATAAATATGCCAAATTAGCCCATTTTTACCAAATACAAATTTGTATTTGATTCCCAGATTGTAGTATAAGAGGATTCCATTAAATTGTTAAAGAAAAAAAAAAATAATAGTAAATCACTATAGACTTGTTAATTGTAAAGTAATAATATCCTGTCACAAATGGAACATAAATTCAACTTTTTTTTATATAATTTAAAAAAAGTTTTACACGCATTGACACTTAAAAACAATTTTACGCACATGAATCCTACTCCATAAATTAAAACTAAAATAAATTACACACATAAGATCTCAAATAAATTTCATACACATGAGTCTTACTCTATAATAAGAAGACAAATTCTTCTCTAGATTGCTCTCCAATAAAACAATAAAATGTCAAAGAAAAAATTAATAACACATTCTTTTTATTTTATTATTAACAGTTAAGTTTTCCTCAGTTCTTTGTTGACGTTAAAAAGATTTTAAAGCGTCAACAAAGAACTAACACTGAGATTTTTATTTTTATTTTTAAAAATTTTGCAACACTATTGCCAACATTAATATTGTTTAATTCACTTTTAAAATCGAAAAGAATTTTGAGTTTAAATCTTGTACCTTGTAAATTTAATTGATTTTTATGAAGTGAATTCAACTTTTTTTAAATATATTTTTTTAAAATTTTATAACTCTTTATTTGAATTTTACTTATTAATAAAAATAAATTTTCTTCTTTTGGCTGCTCTTTGAATTTATTGTAGTTTAATTCATACCTTATAACAAGTGTTTGCTTATCAATTCCACATTGGCTTTTGTTGCAATAATGACAGCAAATAAAAATATTTTAAATTGTTAAAAAAACTAAAAATACTATGTTTTTTTAGTTTGACAACTAAAACAATATTAATCTAAAGTTTACTTATATACTAATTTTCATTCATTCAGACATTTTCAGACTTATACACAATATTATACATACAAATAGGAAAATGTCTTTTGTACTGAAAAGGTGCAGAGAGTGCTGTGTAGTAAACTTTGGTAAGTATTATCTTTGGAACTACTTTAAATTTTTTTTTTTTTTTTTTTTTTTTTTTTTTTTTTTTTTTTTTTAACATCTTCACTTCCAACAAGGCTGCAAGCAACCACTATAAGAGTTGGAAGTTACTGGAAGAGAAAAGACTAAATCTGTAGAGCAAGATAACGATTGACTGATGACTTAAAAGATTGCAAATTATATGAATCAGGAAAGCAAGATGAAGGAAGCGAATTCCAAAGAACTGATGTTCGAGGAAAAAAACTAGAAGAATAAGAGTTTTTGAAGCACTTAGGAACAGTCACAGAAAAAGGATGAGACTTAATTGAATGGCGAGTAACACGAGAATGAATTTTAGTAGATGGCACAAGGGACGCTAGCTCTTTAGAGCAGTGCCCATTATAGTATTTGTAGAAAAGAGAAAGAGAAGCGACATTACGACGATGTGACAAAGGTTGGAGATTGGCTGCCAGAGCAGGTCCAACTATGTTTACAATTCGTTTTTGCACCTTGTCTAAAAGAGAAAGAGCATCATTAGAAGATCCACCCCAGATGTGGCAACAGTATTCCATACAGGGACGGATTTGAGATTTATAGAGATAGAGAATAGAATCTGGAGTAAGAAAGTGTCGAGCTCGATAAAGAGATGCAACCTTAGCAGATGCTAATTTTGCAATGGATTTGATATACGGTTTAAAAGAAAGATCAGAAGTAAGAGTTAATCCTAGAAGATGAATGGTAGATGACTCATCTAGTACATTACCATTCATAAATATAGGAAGATCTAAATTATTACGATAACGATTGGCCGAATAAAATTGAGTTTTATCTAAATTAAAGTTCACCAGCCACTGTGAGCCCCATGCTGTAGCAGAAGTGAGATCCTTTTCAAGCTCAGATACCCCCTCCAGGCAATCAGAGAGTGTAGGCTTCTTATCATGACAAGAGTAAATGGTAGTGTCATCAGCGAATAATGCCACCTTAGATGTGAGAATATCTGGAAGATCGTTAATGTAAATTAAAAAGAGTATAGGGCCAAGGATTGAACCTTGAGGAACCCCTGAAGTTACAGGATGTGAAGAAGAGTGTTGTCCATCGAGGACAACTTTTATACTACGATTGGAAAGAAAGGACTCAATAATCTTAAAGACGTTACCAGCTACACCATAAGAAGAAAGCTTATGGAGAAGACCAGCATGCCAAACTTTATCAAAAGCTTTAGAAATGTCAAGTGCGATAGCCTTAACCTCTCCACCTCTATCTAATGCACGGTAAAACCTATCGGTTATTACTGTTAGCACATCAGCTGTAGAACGAGAAGACCGAAATCCATATTGATGATCAGAAAGTAAGTTATTTGATTCAAGATGAGAGATTAAGTGTTTGTTGATTAAAGATTCAAAAACCTTGCTTAAATTAAATGTTTAAAAGTTCAGCTTTGTTTATTTTTAAAAGGTTTTCTTAGAATTATGAAAATCAAGCAATTACAAAATACGTAGTAATAATATTTAATAATAAACAATAAGTATTTAAATTGACCATGCCACTGTTAAATTTGGATAACCTGACCATTTTCAGGTTAAATTTGACTTTGCTGTGTTGTATAGTTTAGATGATTACTTTATACTTGTGTTACAAATTTATTTCAAAAAACCCTTATAAAATATTAACATAATATAGTATAAATAAAAATATTTATAAAAGTAAAAAAACTTTTGTAATAATTTTTTCAGAATATATTTTTAAAATATTAACAATAGTATAAATAAAAATAGATATTTATAAAAGTATAAATAATTTATAGACGGAAGAGCCAAAGTTTACAATTTATTCCCCAGTTTTTAAAGAGCTAACAACATCTTGTTTTTAACATTACAATAGTATTTGTGCATGGAGCTGGAGTGCCACATTTTAACATCAAAATTTTGAATAATGTAAAAATACAAAATTTTGGGCATGCTGTCATTTCACATATTTGTGCAATAAAGGAAAATTTCAAAGTTAATTTTCTTTCTTGGACATAGGCAAATGATTTAAATTTTTATATTTTTGGAATCCCATGGTCATAAGCTTTCACAGGTATATCGCGGTTTTCTTGGGAACTGACTTAAGGGTCAACTCAAATTTTTGCTAACTGTGACATGATAGATCTACTTATAAGAGAAACTTCTGATATTTAAAATATACTAACACAAGATTATTCTGAATCTATTAAAAATATACTCATCAATACTGTTTAGGAACAACTACAGCTTGTGGTCTTCATTTTCTTAAACCTAGAGCTATCTATTAAGTCGATGCATGTACTGAAGGCCCTTGCAACTTCTTGTTTTTGTATGACCTCGTCTATGTGCGTCTAATGTTGTATTCATATATATATATATATATATATATATATATATATATATATATATATATATATAAATATATATATATATATATATATATATATATATATATATATATATATATATATATATATATTTATACATACACACATTTTCATATACATACATACAAAAATATATTTTCATATACATTTCATATACATACATAAATACATACATACATACATTCATAAATGCCACACAAATACACATCCATTCATATAAATAAATTTATATTTATAAAATATATACTACATATATATTTTGTTATGCGTTTTTTTTAATAACATAAAATAAATATATCTGTAGTAATTTTAAAAGATAAAAATGCTAAACATAAAGAAAATATGGCTTTAAACAAGTAAAGGATTCATAGTTAATAATTTGTAGCAAATATAAATCAACACATCAACACCACAATCAGATTATGAGTTTCTTACATGTCACTTTTTTCTTCAGGTGCTCATTTTTGATCATAAGGAAGTTTTTATCAAAAACATTGTTTTTTTCCGTGAGAAAATAAAAAGATTTGTTGAAGATGGTGGACATAAACTTCAGGTACTTTTTGTTCATTTGTAATTTTTTTTTTTGATAACTTTGATTTTCAAAAAAATTCACTTCATTTCACACCAAGGTCTATAAAAATTGAATTTTTGTGAATGATTTGTGAGCTCATAGCAGCTTTGCGAACTCATAACAGCTTTTGTGAACTTATAGCAGCTTTTGTGAACATTTTTTCAATTCAATACCAGAGTTCGTAAAAAGTAGTAAATTTAATTTTGAAAAAAAATTATCAATTTTCTTAGTCATCATAAATAGTATGTACAAATGTTATAATGCATTTCTGTTTAGGTTTTGTCAGATTTTGACCGAACATTAAGTAAACATTTTGTAGAGGGTGAAAAGGGATTTACAAGCTTTGGTGAGAAAAATATGAATTTTTGATATTTTTTTGTAATTTTTTGTTGACTTTAAAAATTAATCTTAAATGCACAATTTAGGTGTTGTTGAACACTCGCAATACTTTCCAACATATGTTAAAAAACAGGTGAAACTTCTAAGTTTAAAATCTTTTTAAAAGTAGTATTTCATCCTTTATGTAAATAAAAAAATTGACTGTTTGTAAATTTCTTACAGATCTGTTGTTGTTGAACTTGCTAAATTTTACTTCTAGTTGTTATCTCTGCATGAAAAATACCATCCTATTGAAATGTCTACGTAAGTTTATGCAATATGTTGTGTTTATTTGAATTTAATGATAAAAGAAAAACTATGAAAATTTTTTATCATCAAATTGAAGCGAAAATCTTATCAATATCAACAAATTTAAATTGTTTTTTGTTAATGTTTTTTGTCAAGGAAAGTAAAGTTTTTTATTCCCTGTGGAATGAAAGTTAATCAAATTTTTTCTGAAATTTTTGACTAAAAATCAGAAGAAATTGTTTTTTAATTTACTTTTTGCATAGATGAGTTTTTTTCCAGAAATTCCCTGAATTCCAGAAATTCACTTAAAACACCTTTAATTTTTTTCAGAAATTTCCGGATGTTTTTTGATATTAATTTGAAAAAAAACTAATTCATTTTTACATAAAATTTTACATAAGACAACTTTTGCATTTAAACAAATATGTTTTCTATAATTAAAATTTTCAAGAGATCAATTTTTGTAACAATTTTTTTCTTCTTTTTTTTTTTTTTGCTTTTTAATTCATTCAAACTTTTTCGAATATTAGAAATTCCTTTTTGTAAAAAGTTAAATAATCTAAATTCCGTTTGTCAGTTAAATGCGATCACTTTTTAATAAAATAGCTTTCCGGGATTTTCATAAAGTCAAATACTCATTTATGTTGATGATTTTCAAGTAGATAAAATTGTTATAGCATATTTTCCAACTTTCCTTTTTTGTAAATGTCCAATAACATCGTTTTTATTATTAACAACAGCCAGTGTGTAATTATCAACTTCTTTATGTGGCTTTAAACATAATTTAAAAATCCTTCAATGAAAGGTTCCCAGTTGTTTCAATAAAATGAAGTAGAAAAAATCAATGGGTTTTGATCATATGGTTTAGTTGGAGACCTTACTGTTAACAATTACAGGAACATAGATTTGTACAAGTGAGACAAGTGTCTTACAGATAAAGATTTTTTGGGTTTTATTTTAATCAATGATTGCTTTGTGGATGAAGAGAAGACTGAGGAGATAGTAAACTATGTGCTCCCTGAAAGGCTAAACCTATCAAAAAAAGTTCGAACCTGACCATGTTCGATCTGTTATAAAAAAATGTTAGAACTATTTTAAACTATTTTATTTAGATTACACATAAAATTAAAACAAAGAAAGCGAACAGTATTTATTTGTTTATCATCATTAATTTGGACAAAAAAATAAATAAATAATTTATTATATTAATATTTAAAAAAATATAAATAAATTATATTAATGAGTATTCTTCATAGTTTGCTTTTAAAAAGTTAGTGCATTTAAAGTTTTGTCATTTAAAGAACTTTTTATTTTACTAGCAAAATGTCCAAGACTAGAAAAAGCTCTCTCAGCTTCTACGAATGTAGGAGGAATTGTTGGAAGAGCTTTAAAAAGTAAATCTAAATACTCGGGCCTAGCTTTGCTTGCTTCATAAACACCTATTTTCTTTTGAAAGTTTGTTTCAATTTCCTGATGGTCAAGTTTCATTTCAGTGTCTGATTGTTCAATAAAAAGTTTGAGTTGTTAAGCTAAATTTAATTCATTTTTGATACTTAAAAAGAGTATATAAGTTTTTCATTATATAAAATGTTTATTCAAGTAAATAAGTTTTTTGACTTTTTAATATGAAGTTGTTCCATCTTTAGTTTTTATGATTTCTGCAAGTGATTTTTGCATTGATTCAAGTAATTTCTTTGTCTTATCTGGTTTGAGTCCAAGCTTCTTGGAGCATGATGTTTAGCCCTTCTTTTTAGTGTGCTACTTTTTTGATCCAAAATGGATCACAGGTAATCATTTGGATTAAGATCTGGACTTTTAGTCAGCAATTCAAATAACTCAATCTGCTTCTGGATAAAAAACTCTTGTTTTTTTTTTTTATTTATGTTTAAAGTCATTTTTTTGAAATCTTGTTAGAAGATAAAATTTTAATATCTCCCAAGTTTTAAGTTGTGGCCAGAAGATATTCATTGAAAATGTTGGCATAAACCTCAGTCCATTATTCCATCAAAAAACCTCAGCTTTCCTGTTCTATTCTAAGCCATCCAGTTTTTTTTTTTTAAGCTCTATTATATTATTTGACTTTATTCCAGACCTAATTTATGTGGTTACTTTAATGTCAACTTAAGTCTTACCTAGGTTGGAGAATAATGAAAATAATAAATTTCAAAATTGTTCATTTAGCACTATCACAGAGGAAGCAAAAATTCCTTATATGGTTGAATGGTGAGTGTATTCAATATTCGAATATTATTAACAAACTTCATTAAGTATTTTTTTATCATTTTACTTGTGATTTTTCAAAGTAAGTTTATATTGTAGGTGGGCAGAAGCATTTATGCTTGCGGTGAATGCTGGGGTTCAAAAACGTCATATTCCTGATATGGTTAGAAATAGCAGAGTAGTTCTAAGGTAAAGTATGGTTTTTTGTATAAAATTTTGTCTTCCTAGGAATATTTTTTATAAATGTTGTTGTTTAGAGATGGAGCTGACCAATTTTTTCACTTACTTCATGAGAAAAATATTCCGCTACTTATTGTTTCTGCAGGTCTTGGAGGTATTTTTTTTTTTAATAGAAATTTTATACTTTTAAAATATTTTTTAAAATTTGTAAATAAAAGCGCTATAATATACTAGAAATATAAAATCCAGAGGTCTCATTTGCAGTTTATGCTTTGAATGCTTATAAATAAATATAAAATTTATATATATATATATATATATATATATATATATATATATATATATATATATATATATATATATATATATATATATATATATATATATATATATATATATATATATATATATATATATATATATATATATATATATATTAGGGTGTCCCAAAAAAAAACATTTTTGAAAATAATTTGCTCTCACCCCCTAAATGTTCTATCTAATACAAAAACACTAGGTTTAAATTTTTTTTGAATAAAAAATATTTTAAGGGGTCCCTCAAGACCCTCGAATATTTAATGGGTCCCTAATATTTTCGAAAAAAAAGTTTTTCAAAAATATGTCAACCTGGTATTCAAATAAAGCAAAATTATATAAATATTTCAAAAATAATATTCATTTCAAAATATTTTTAACTTAATTATCGAAATTATCATAAAAAAAAACATTAAAAATGCACCCCTTAAAATATTTTTTATTCAAAAAAAATTTAACCTAGTGTTTTTGCCTTAGATGGAACACATTTAGGGGGTGAGAGCAGATTATTTTCAAAAATGTTGTTTTTTGGGACACCCTAATATATATATATATATATATATATATATATATATATATATATATATATATATATATATATATATATATATATATATATATATATATATATATATATATATATATATATATATAAACTAATTTAAAACATCAGATAATACGAATTCTCTCAATACTAAATAATTGAGAGAATTCGTATTATCTGATGTTTTAAATTAGTTTATATATATATATATATTTACTCTTGTACAAGATGTCAACATTTAAATCATATATATATATATATATATATATATATATATATATATATATATATATATATATATATATATATATATATATATATATATATATATATATATATATATATATATATATCAGAGTGGAAAATGAGGAAATATAGGTGAGCGGTCAATTCGACCAGCCAGCTCACAGAATTGACTTTTTTTTTTTTTTTTGGGCGGTCAAAATCTTTTTTTGGATTTTTGACAATTGTTTTTTTTGGACATTCATAATTTTTCTTTTTTCTTTGTTTAAATCTTAGTAATAGTTCTTCTTGAATAAACTTTATAAATACAAAATAAAGTTAATGCTTAAGGGGTAAAAGATAAAATTATTTTAATACAGGGTTATTCAATCTTATATGCGCGTCAATTCATTTTTATATGCGTGTTTATTCATTCTTATATGTGCCTTTATTCATTCTTATATGCGCATTTATTCATTCTTATATGCACGTTTATATGCGAGTCAACCACCCATAAAATCTCTAATATAATTTTATATAAACAATAAATTATCATTAATTTTTTAATGTTTTTAGATAGATATACTTAAAGTATAAATTAGGTTGTTGCCACTGCAATTTATTTAAAAAATGGTTGCCAAGCCAGCGCTAAATTTATTTAATAATTATAAATAATAAAATTTGAATCTAGATAAATGAGTATTTAGATAAATAATAATTTAATCAATCAATAAATTTAATAATAAAATTAAACAAAGACCTAATACTAAATTAAATCAAATGTAAAAAGTCTTCGTTTTAAGTATTTTTAACCTCGTTTACTTTTCTAGCATTATATTTTATATAAAATCGCAATATATTTAATATATTTTTGCAATATATTTTCTTACAATATATTCTTGCAATATCTTCTCGCAATATATTTTCGCAAGTACTGCAATATCTCAGGAATAATGATTCTTATGAAAACGTTTACACAAATTGCTTACTTGTAAAATGATTTTTTTTGTTCAAATTGCTTTTTTAAAATGTATATAAGAATGAATAAACATGCATATAAGAATGAATAAATGCGCATATAAAAATGAATGAATACGCATATAAGAATGAATAAAGACGCATATAAAAATGAATAGATGTGCATATAAAAATGAATAGCCCTGGAATAACAATTTTAAATAAAATCAATGCTTTTTTTTAAAGCGCAAACAGGCAATTGATAATATTTAATATATATTTAAAAATAATTCATTTCATTGCAATGACTTCGCATATGGTGGGAAAAGCTGCGTGAAAAATAATAGAAAAGATCAAATGAAAAAAAAGAACAGTTGAGATTATATTCTTATTTACATATAGTAATTTTGAATAATAATGAAATAAATGAAGTTAGAGAAAAAAAATTTTTGCACATTTTATCTCTTGCTCATTAAAATCATTTCATAAACCGTTTATGTTAATTAGTAAATAACGTTACTAACTCTTGTTTGCAGATACTATTTAAACTGAATATTTAATATTTTAAATTGTTTTAAACATTCGTCTTCTTAGTATTAAACAACTTGTTTAATAAAACATATTTTAAAAATTAAATTTTAAAACATTAAAAAACTTGTTTAATGAAACACTATAAAAATTATTAAATTTACTTAAAACGAGATTTAAAATTCGCAGAGCTATAAATTTTTTTTTAATAATCCTATTATAAAAAAAAGCGTAAGGGCTCAATTAGTAATTTTTAATTTATCTATGAACCATTCATTCATTTATTTGCAATTTTCAGCAAAACTTAAACAGAAAAAAATAAAAAGATTTAGAGCAAAATAAAACAAATTGACTAAGTCCAGGTAAAGGAAAAATTGTTTATAGTTAAATAGATAATTTATTTTATATTATCATGTTGTTAATAAAGTAATATTTAAAATTTTTATATTATTATTTTTGTTATATTATTTTAATATTATCAAAATAGTAATAAAATAAGAGCTTTAATCATTTAAGAAAAAAGGATTTTCACCATTGGTAAAATAAAATAAATTTAAATAAGCGAAACAAAAAACTTGATGATTATAGTTTACTTTGTTAGGTATACGTTGCGTACATTACAAGCTATACAATATTCCGGTCAAAATAAACATTCCAATTTACAATAATTCGCATAGAGCTGAAAATTGATACATACCTTTAGGACATTATTACAAATAAAGTATTAAAAGTCCCTATCAATCCCATATCTGCAAGGTCAAAGGTATAAAAAAAAAAATTTATTATTAAATGCATATTATGTATTATATACTCGTATTATTGTGATATATTATATATTAGTATCTTCTTCGCTTTCTTCTTCGTAGGTTATCTTCTTTTTCAAGCTGGATATGCGAAAAAGATACATCAATTGTCTCCTCATTGATATCATCAAAATCATCACTTATTGAATTTGATTCAACATTTGAGCAACACTAGCCTCGGCAATTAGTACACACTGATGAACAAAATAAGCTGACTTTTTTACAGCTTCATTTTGCACTACAACCTTTTTTGCAATTGCAGAAGATGGTGTTGAAAAGTCTTTCCGGAGCTTGTGCGAGTAAATCGTGTGTTAAAGTGATGTTAAAGAGTCAATCAGCTCTAATGTATTATTTACTACCTCAGTCTGATGGGTCCAGTTGATTGCCTAGCCATACTTGAACTTGATAATATGCTCAATACAAGTGTAGGCTAGAAGAAGCAGATGTTGGAGGAAGACAAGATAACTGCCTTCTTTTATTATTCTGGGTGTTTTTTACAAAAGTTAGGTATCTATACTTGTCTAAACGATCAATTTTATTTGAAGCTCTATATTAAGCAAGAAGAAAACAAATTCCGTTTGTAACAATGTCTTGTGGTGAAGAGTCTATCTTTTCAAACACTTTAGCGCAATTAGTTAAATCACGTTTTTCAAATAATTTAAATGCGGTTGTTGTACCCTTTCTGAAAAATGCTGATGTAGTATCGCAACCAGTAATTGCATGTAAAAGTAAGATATGATTTTGACATTTTGAATAAGCAGATAAACTTTTTGATGAATATAATTCTGTTGGTTGATGAGCTATCCCTGGTTTCAAAAAGTAAATAATCTTATCAATTGGAGTCTGTGCAGTCAATAATACTAATAAGTCAACATCTCCACCGACATCAATAAAATTATTTGTTGCATTGGATTGTTCTATGGCTTTTTCAATTATAAGGACATTAGCGTTATTATCTGCTTGCTTCACTATAATATTTGCAGCTGTAAATCTTTCGCATAACATAAAAATGAAGCAAGACTTGTTATGAGTATTGGAAAGGAATTGTTGTTGGTTTGTTGGAACTGTCATAAATTGATCAAAAATGACATCAGGTGAAGAAGATATGCTGTTCTGTAGCTTTAATAAATATCTTATAATCAGTATAACCATCAAATACTACTATAGACACTCGATGACTAAAATGTCTATGTACGTACTGAATGTATTTATTAAAAGTAATGTTAAAGATGAAGTGAACGAGGAGGCCGAGAAGAAAGCGATGAAAGTTCTGCGTAAAATTCATAAAGATTGCTTCTCGAATCCACACAAGGTATCAAATCCCCCCATCGATGATGTAACTAGTATTTGTGTTGTCAATTTCAATTTTCACTGATTCAATTGTAAATAGCTGATTTCTGCGTTTTACACATTTCAGTTTTTATCAAACATTGATAAAGGATAGGTGGCTAATTCATACTCAACAAATTTTTCTATTTCATCCTCAAATGTCTTAGTAATAATCTTACGTTGAAATAGTAATACTGGATCTACAGGTACTTTCTCATCATGAAGTTTTATGGTGCTACTCATGGTTAGAAGAGGAAGAACTTTATCAGCGCGTTTTAATTTGATATTAAATGTTTCACCTATTATTTTAGACATAGAAGCAATCCCAACTTCACGAGCTTTATGACAGTTGATTTTATTATATAACAACCATTCCACTAGCAATTGAAATGATTTCTTTAATTTTAGGAGATTGATCATGTGATAAAAACCACTGCTGAAGTTTTTCAATATCTT